TTGGGAATGAATGCTCTGTGAACATGTATGCAAAGGTGTGGGTGTATTTGTGTGAGCGGGGATGGGGAGTTCCTTGTAGGTTACTTTTTTCTTACAGTATTTGTATCCTGCCCTGATCTTGGTATACTCTGGGCAGGCTATGAGACTAACAACAAAAACATAAAAGTCAATAAAAATAAATTTATCTCTTGTTCTTTATTTTTTGCCCACTAGTTACTTTGTGAACCAATTGATTGCACTTATTTCGTCTGTTTCACATTTTTTTCCCCTCTGCCAAATGGATTAGGGTTAAGGTTATAGATCAATGGTTGACAGTTACCTCTGCAAATTTATTTACCCATGCCCTAATCACCAATCGATTATGTTTTTATGCCTGCAGTGGGCAAAAACTTTTTGGGACATGAGATTTTAGCACTAGCAGCAGGCAAGAAAAGAACAAGAGCCACACATTTTAAAAAGTATCATTAATAATACCATGGAGGTTATGTGTGCAAGTTCCGGCCACACACGGACTTAGCAGTCTTACATAAACCTAAATAGAAATAAATCCTCACTGAACTCTGTGGAATTACTTCCAGGAAAGTATGCACAGAATTGCATTACGGGTCTGTTTTGTTCAAAATTTCCTATTAGGGACATATGACTTATTTATTTAATTTGATTTATATGGCAGCCTCTCATGCTACTACAACTCAGGGTGGTGAATGGTTTTTCTAAAAAAAAACCCTCTATAATATAACACTTTATATAGTACGAACACATAATTATACACAAAAATGGCATTGGAGAGTAAAAAGCAATACAGTATAATAAAATTTTAACCTACCTGGGCTTCACTAACTTCATGATGCCCATGACTGAGAAACATTCATGTTTCCAATGCCTTTGAATGGCTAACAAGGTCAGGTCAGGGTTTGCTATGCTAAGATTTCCAGAGAATTAACAGATCTCTTTAAATCCATTTTATAATCTGGAGCTTTTTTGTTTATCAAGTTATCACAGCCTACAGGTATGTAATATCTTCTGCAGTTATATTGTGGGTGAACGCATATTTCCTGAGAAGTAAGTCTCTTTTCAGGCAGGTGTAATTTTCAGCTAAGTATGCATAGAACTGGACTTTTTTCTATTTCTGTTTTGTTTTGATGCCTCGATTCATTTCACTGACTGATACCCACTGCTTTAATTAAAGGCGGCAACAGAAGCTACAAGGAAAGACTAATTACCTCTTCCTCTCACTAAAATGTCAGATTCTGTGTCACCCACACAAAGCCAACTTCAAGCTTGTACCCCAGACCTATAAGATGACTGGGCTACCTTAATTGCAGACCACTGAAAACAACACCACACAGTAATAAGGAAATCACTGGCATCCATTTCAAAGAATTCAAAGAATTATCTGTGGTTGGGTGTCCCCTTAGCCTGATGCATTATTGCAAAGCTCCTGCTTCTAACAAACAGCTGTCGCCACTTGTAGATTAGCCTAGGCCCCTCCCTTGCAAACTGTACCGTCTTGATGGCCTTTCTTTCTGTCCAATTATAAAGCAGCACTAGGTTTTCTCATCAGCCATCTCCATGTCTTCAAATGGCTTTTCAGTGTCAGACCTATCAGGAAATTAACTCATCATGCAGTGACAGCTGCTAATTTTTTCCCCTTACATGTCAGATAGATCGCCTGCTGAAGCTAATAATGAATCACCAATCTCTGATTAGAAGGTGCTTCCGAAACGTATAACTGCCATCGGAGCTAATTTTTTTCTTCATATAAAATGATATCACCCTAGAGGAGCAGAAAACGAATTGTTCTGTTCAACAAGATGGAACAGAGGTAAGCTGTTTAAAGTGAGCCGTGTGCAATTGGAAATTATGAGCTAATATTGTAGAGTATAAGAAGGGGTGAAAATGCCACTTTTCTTTGTTCTTTTTTCATCTTACCAAATGGATTACTCTTTCCTGTTACATAATCTATTCACTAGAACTAACTCTGTTTTAGTGCTCAGGATATGCTTTTGTCCTCTGGGTTCTGTGTTGTATTTTTCTCCGAAAACATACAAAGTAGAGAATGCGGAGGAAAGAGTTGATGTTGTTGGGGTCTCTCTTGTGTTTCCCCTCGCTAACTTGCCAGTGGCTCAGGCTGCCAGCTGATGGTCCCCAATGTTTTTCAAAGCAGGACAGTTCAGATACAAGTTTTGGCCAGCCTGAGGCAGGAAAGCTCATCGTGAAGAACATCTTGAGCCAACTGTGTCTGCAAACATAACAAATCTCTCTCTTGAGGAAGCTTTCTATCAATCTGGATGTTTTGAAGGCAACATTTATACATGACAACAGTGCTCACAGCACTGTTCATAATTCCTCATGTGCATATTTCTTGGTATGTTGGCTTTTTATGCCAGTTCAACTAACTTGCATGGTGAACTGTTGCTGATAAGAGACAGAATATCATTTAGCTTGGAGCTTTTGTTTTGGTTAACATTTTATATCTATGAATTAACTTTCAAGAGACATTTCTTGAAAACATGGCAGAAAACATTGTGCTGGAAGCTATAAATGTTATGAGGAATGACTGCACATACTTGACAGGGCTTCCTGTTTTTTTTCTGTCTATTAGGGAAAAAGGATGCTAGTCATTTAAGTCAACCTAGGGATTATATTTATTGAGCCTGGCTGACTATGATGAGCAAAAATCCCACTGTATGTACATAGTTAACTATTTGATAAATAGGCAATGTGGGGTATTCTAGTTAGTTTGGACTATCATAATCAATAATTACTGGACACATTGGCTAGAGCTGATGGAACTTGCAGTCCAGAATATAACTACCCTATAATTCATTACCTCACTTTTTCTAAAATTGCTTATTGCCATTTGATGTAGGCCCTGGTGATAGTTCAGAGAAAGTCAAGGTATACACCAATATACCGAATAAACATGACTACTTCTCTAAACAAGTGTTTCACTTTCTTCACACCATAGTATAACTGAGGTGAAATGCATATTGAGAAAGATGTGCTTTAAAGTAAATTTCAGTTTTACATCCATAATTTTATCATAGATGCAATTGCATTCGGATCAGTGGTGGGATTCAGCCGGTTTGCACCAGTTTTGTTGCCCAGACCCAGAATGGACTTCCGGAAGTGGCATCCACACAGAGAACTAGTTGTTCACATATTTGAATCGCACCACTGATCCTAATGCAATTGCATCTATGATAAAATTATGGATGTAAAACTGAAGCACATCTTTCTCAATATGCATTTCACCTCAGTTATATTCTGAATTATTGAATGAGATGCTGGATACATCTAGATTCCAGGAAAAAAAATAATCTATCAAATCATATCAAGACTGGGACTTTAGGAGTTTCATGTTACATATAGAATTTGATGCCTGGAAGTAGCTACGTAACATAATCTGAGGAGCATGAGCCACTCTGCTTATCAAATAGTCCAGAATCCCAGATTTCAAATAAATCCAGATCTCTTTTCCTGCCATGCTGAAGACAAACTGATGCATTTCTGCCCCTCAGATGAAGCACAGCGGAAGGATATGTCACAGCAAGGCTGAGATGCAGCTTTCCAAAGGCCTTGATTGGCAGATGTTTGTATTTACTGCTGTTCATGATACTCCAGAAAAGAATTACAAGGGAAGGAAAGACATAACTAAGGCATGAAGCTTAGTAATGTATCAAAGCATAAGCATGAGATCAAATATTTTGTTTGGAAGTAAAAAAGCCCAGGTTGATGGTTTATGAACTATCCTGGTGTCCAAACCTGGTGTCCTTCATAAATATATTTGTTGGGGAATTTTGCTCTTAACAAATCCAGAAAGTTTTCACTGGGTGGTGTTAAAATAATAAGAATCTAATTCCTGAGACTTGTATATTGAATAGAGGAGTGTTGGCTGAAGAAAAGATCTTTCTAAATGGGTGATAGTGAATGGACTAAATTGAAAAACAAAAGGTAGAAACACATAATCTGGGTTTCTGGAGGATCTTTCTCAGCACTTCCAAGCCAATGAACACTTCTACATTTTTTATTTATTTATGCAAAGGTCTGCTCTTTTCATTGTGCATACAATGTGATTGCTGGTTTGACACTGCAGGCTACACTGGTTTCATGAAGGATTAAATGCCACCTGAGACATATTTATCCTAAATAAATCACAAATGGTAAACTGCAGCATGTCAGTGTCAACACCCTGTATTGCAGCGGAAAGGTTAGCCATACAGGACTGAGCATAGCTAAAAATTAGCATCCAAGCCATAAGACCAGAGGGCTCCAGTTAACAGGCAAAATGATCAAGAAGAAATCTTTTCAATGAAAAACATTTCTTTGAGTACCTACGAGAATCTTGCAGAAGGCCATCATTTTGTAAAGGTCACTTTTATCCTGATAACAAACCGGAGTTGATCCTGTCATTGTTGGCTGAAGACAGTATTTAATAAGTAGTGAGCGGCCTGTCACTTTTAAGAAGAATGAGCAAGTTAAACTTAGCTAATTATGACTTTCAGTCTCTCTCTTTTTTTTTGAAATTTTATTCTCCCTCTTTATTTGGGGAGATGATCTGACACATCCAGCCTGGAAAATAAAAACAACAACAATACATTTGCCACTCTGACAAGCACATGCCCCTTTGCAGCTAATTTTAGAAGAGACAATTGTGCTCTGACTTTTTGATAATCGGATGTATCATTTATGCGTCTTTTGCCCGATACTTCTGAATCATAAAAATTAGATAATTAAGATATTAAATTAAACTAATCCGGTTACTTCCTCTCTCCTGGCCTGAAAGTCACGAGTCCAAATGGAAACAGAGTAAGTTTTTCCTCCCCTGCTCTTTTCTCAAATCAGACTGGAAGAGTAATCATGATGCCTAGCAGGAGTTTTGTAAATCTATGACACTTTTCTGGCTTGCTTCTAAATGTAAAACTAAGGCTGTCTTCAGGCACTCAACAGCCCCACATACATAGCTGGTGGGCCACAAATTTGCAGGCCTGTAATAAAGTCTATTTAATGCCAGCTCTGTGTATTGATCAACAGTGCATGTCTGTAAGAACTCTCAATGGGATCTACTTCCAGGTAAGCTTAACATTAAAAATGAGAATACACCTTTTAATGCTGTTTTTTTATTGTAAAGAACCAACTGTTCCCCTATATATGATAGTTACATCTTTTAAGGAAAAACAGAAGTTTTTATAGCAGAAAAATAATTGTTTTTAGCAGGAACTTACTTTAAACAATCAGAATTTATCCACAACCAAATCAACATTTTGATCCAAGAAGAAATAGATCAAATTCAACTTTTTCCACTTAAGATTAATGGCAGAATTTAACATGGAAAGGGTCATCAAATATTTGCAAAGCCCATTCATAAAACAAACTGCAAAATGGTATATATTTGAACGATACTTTAAAAAAAGAAGAAGAACGAAATCCCAGCAATGATTACGTAACAGGTATTAGTGAGTTTCTTTTGCTAATACCTCCACAAGGGTTGATTTTAGAGAGATCTCATGATATTCAATGGGGGTTCAATCACAATAAAATGTATTTTGAAAAAAGGCATTTTGAACCACACCATAAATTTATTTCATTGTGGATACTGCATTTTGAGTAGAAATAACTGGGGCGTATTTAAACAGGTTTGGAATGTAAAAATTATTGCATACATAGAATGCCTTAATCTATAAATTGTTGATGTCTGTGTCAATTAGGTGATATAAGTACCTGCATATTTAATTTGCTCTCCCTGCAGAAAGTCAGATAAGTCAAATTACATAATTAATCACAAGAAAGATAAAACTATCAGAATGTCAAAATATAATGAAGAGGTGATAAGCAAAATAACCCAAATTATCTAATGAAGATAATTAAATTAATATCTTGGTAGTTGCATCTGTGTATGTTCTGATTTTATTTTGTAAAATTTTCAGTGTCTATAACCAGTAACAGTCTGATCAATGCTCATGCAAAAACAAGGAAAATTCCCTTTTTATGTAACATTCCCAAGATGGTGATGCTAACACCATCTAAATGCATTGAACAGCAAATACCATTTAGAAATGCTTATAAGTTAACAATAAAACATAATATATCTGATGTTTAATTCTTTCTCTTTTTTTGAACTTATTAGGTAGAGTACTTTAGTATCTTTTATAGTTCACTGTTATCTCTTTGGCCCTGGATAATAGCTGTTTGTGAACCATCTTCTGTGTAAATGAGCATGCTACTTAGTTGTTCAACACTTTCGTCACAAGAATTTTGATTAGAATTTATAACTGTGCCAGCCTGCAAAAGTTCGTGAGTTTCTTCTTTCTCTATCATAGTATGTGAATATATTCTAGAGTCATTCTCAATTTCCTGTGGTAATTGTGTTACTATGTAATGAGTTGCACCACTGGCGAAGTTATTGTTAGACTCCTGAACCATCGCTTGAGCAATCTCCTCTGTGACAATGATCTGTGAAATTCCTCCATCTGCTTCAACCAAATCCATGTGTTGACTTTGGATGCTCAGAGTATGGCTGTCAGTCTCTTGCATTATTATTTGAGATCCTTCTCTAGCTACCATATGCACAGTACCTTCCTCATTCAAAATAACCTGAGTGACACCTTCTTTCATCAGCTGATCAGCTGCAGCTGTATCACATACAGCAAACTGGAGGACTCCTTCAACCATTTTCTTGAAGGCGACTTGAGCATTTTCCTGAGATGAAATTATGGTAGATGGATGCACAACTTGTGTTACTACCTCCATGGACTGTTCTTCTTCAATTTCCTGAACACCATGGAACATTTGTGTTTCCTGTGTTATGTCATCAATAGAAACGGTGTCTGCTTCTGGATTTGGCACTTGCAATGCTTCTTTGTGACAAAGCTGTGCTCTATCCAAGAGTTCTGCTTTGTTCTCCACCTCACCAAGTTCTGTTACAGCACAAAGCAAAGCGTCTAATGCTGAGGCAGACTCAGGCGGGTGTACCCTTGATGTATCCAGAGATTCGTGTCTCATTATCTGTTGCACCACTGCATTATTTGGGGCTGAAGCAATCCCTAAGGAAACAGCTTCTTCAATAGCAGTTCCTCCTACAGAGCCTTCAACAACAACAAGTTGTGTTTTCCCATCTGACAACTGTTCATTGAGTATTTGTTCTGGAAGTATACTGCTTACATGAGAGCCATTTTGATTTGTAGCTATCAGTTGTCCATCTTCGGTTATATGTACGACCCTTGCCACTTGGCCAGCCATTGCCAAAGTCTGAAGGGTAGCTGCTGCTGTTTCCTCCATTGAGGCATCAATTGTGAAATCACTGTCATATCCCTGAATAATGATCACCTGTTGCACTTGTTCACTGGGTTGTGGATGTCTCCTCATACCATGAAGCATCTTATCACTGACTGGAGAAATTTCATCTAGAGCTGATGTAATAAAAGGGCTGGTGGTTTCAACAAATGTAGCTCCTTGACCCTTCAGTCGACATTCATAAGACTTAGAAACAATACCTAAGAAAAGAAAGAAAGAATATTTTTTTAAAAAATGTCAAAAAATAGTTGCACAAAATACAGGTATGAACAATATAAAAACCACAAATCATATGTGGATGCTATTATCCTTTCAAGTGCAGGTTAATCACTGTGATAAATTCTCTATCAATAGTAGCGAAGGGAATACTTGCATACGCAAGATGGCTCACGTTCAGAGGAACTTAAAAATCTTATTTCTTTCCAGCCGTGACTAGATGTATTTATATATTTTCATTAAATGTTTCACAAACAAATTTGTAAACCCTTTGGAATTTTTGATATTTCTGCACAAATATAACTTAAAATGTAATTTATTTTTGACACATGCAATGGATGAAGATAACTCAATTAAACAAATTAGTCAAAAACATTATATTTGTTGATTTATTTATTGAAGGAAATGATCCAAAGCTATAACTGTAGGAATTACAATTGTAAGATTTCTGAAGGTTATATTTTGTCTTAAAGCTGAAGATGAAATTATCCACACTGGGATACTAGATTGTACATGTTTTATATATTTGTTTATTGTTTTATTGTTTTTCTGGGTTTTTTAAAAAATATATTTTATTATCTTTCTTAGGTGTAAGGCTTAAATTGTCAGTCCTAGAAGCAAAGAACCTGAGACCAGATATGGTGCAGGTGTCCTCCATATCTAAAACTGAGATAGAAGCAGCCAGACACTAGAAAAAGCTGGTTTAACAATTAAACCATGGATTATTATGTACAATAGGCCAGATTATCTGATTCAGTAGTATGAAATCTTCATTATTATCACTCAGTTTTCTGCAATACAAGCAACAGATGTATCCAAGTCTCATCCTTTTGACTGTTCCACTCCTAGCTCTTAAATTCTGGTTTACTTTCTGCAGAGATATTTATTGCTATTGCCCTGGGTGAAAGTCTAATAGAAATCACTGTAGAGAATTTCAGTTGGCCAGATTTGAAATATAATTAATTAATACCAATATGAGTACCATATTGTGAATTCCCAGATGTGTTCCAAACATGTGGGGGAAAACATGGAATTTCTTCTGCGTGTAAATTCTGGTTTTTTAACCAACATGTCTCTGAGATTTCTAAGCTGGAAACACTGCAGGTTAAACACTGCTGATGAATTAATGAATGGCTGAACCATGGGGCCAGAAGTTCAGGATAGAAGTATCAAAAGCAGACACAAAACCTGAAGTATGATAGGTAAGGGGAAGATTTACATTTGAAAGGGGCCACTGCAGTTTCATCTTGATAGACAATCTTTCCCCTAGCACTGAAGATAAATTAATGAAAAAAATGTACAGTTTAATCCTAATCAATTTATTTATAAGCAATGAATTCAATGAGATTTCAGCTTTAACAAAGTTGTAGAGAAGATATCTTAAGTTGTGCAAATCTATACAACAGACACTAAATTTGAATTTCTAACAGTAAAATCAGTCGATTATTTAATCTGCAGTTATCCATTTGGGTCAACAATAGCAGTGATAAATTAACTACAGACTATAATGTAGTCTGCTTTTTTTTTTTAATTCTTTGGCCAAATCAGAATTACCAAGAATAGTTATGAAGGTACATAATGGGCAGTTTATGCATTGTAAGAAAATCTTAATAGATAGGTGGATTTACGCTTTGAAGATGAAGTTCAAACAAGAATTACAAGCTGTTTAATAAAGGCTGCAGTTACATTGTATAATTAATCCGTAACAAAAAAAACCCAACATATAAACAGTCTGTGCATGTTCTGAGATGTTATTTGCTGATAGTCACTGATCTCCAGTGCCTTCCTTACCAGCTAAGCTTCTTTCAGGTCAACTTATTGCTGTGGAATATGTCCATAGAGCTGTGCACGGGCTAAATCAGAAAATGGCATGCAGTTTATATAGCAATGCCATAAAGGAGACACCATTTGTCTGGAAACAAATCTGTTTACAGTTCAGGAAGAACCCCTTAAGATTGAGCTCCATTCTAGGTTGCATTTGGCTATCACAAACTTGAAAAGCTGGTTTGCTATGATTTATTGTGGATGTACAACATTGCCCCTGAAATGACTGTCACAAACTCAATGGCATAATGCAATAAGAATGAATCTGCTGAATTTAAAATCGAAGAAGTTGTACAAAGTGGTTATGTAAGATTGCTAAATATTATTAATATAGCAGTCAAGAGTATGTGGCAACTCCTTCAAATTATTTGCTCCTCTGAGAGCAGCCTGGTTCCAGTACATAGACATAATAATTTAGCAGAGTACCACAAACTCATATGACCTTGTATTAGTATTAAAAACAATCTGGTCAGTAAGCAGAGCCTATGTCACCTTAATGGCACACCCAAAGCAAGCAGCAAATTCAATGTGAATGTAACATGAACCATCTAAGTTATATCATCCCTAACATTTCATATATATCTCAATACTATATTTGATGAAATTACTGACTCACAGATGTATCAGGAGTTTAGGTTTAAAAACACTGTTCCAATTTCACAATATATCTATTCCAACTATTAATGTGAAAGACTAGAATGCATCCATTATCAAAACAAAATTAAATTATACCATCCTAATTTTAGATGGCAAGATGGAAGGGAGACTTTATGTCATTTAGAAAAAAGGTTTGTTTTTTTTATTTAAATGACTGAAATGTTTGTCCAAGTAAAACTGTATGATTGATTTGGCACCCACTGAGGGATTAAATTTTGGCAAGGAAAAACTGTAGGGAAGAACGAAATGGTTCTTTGTATCATTAACCTTATACTCTTTCTCTATGGAAATCATACTCAAGATTCTCAGCTTGAAAAAAAAGAATGGAAGGGAGAACATAACACAAAGGGACAATTAAAAATCAGAACTGATTCATATTTTGCAAGCGAACGATGTAATTAATTTCCACGTGTGTCTTGCTTTCGTTGACAAGATGTAGGATAATACTTGTAATGATATGGTCTTAAATCAAAACACAGTTCTGCTCCAATATTATCCGTTGGACTAATTCCACAGATAAAGTCTTAAGAGTGAACAGGCATGAAGTGATACTGTCATATTCAGGAGCTGCATCAGAACAGAATAGGAACAGAAGAAGATAAAGAAATATGTTCCCTCCCTCGGCTTCAGAGGTAAATGCTGCATCTGTGATTTTATGCATGTCCAGTCTTTGCTCAGCAATTGAACGGGAAGTCTCTTGGGGGTTGAGTTATCCTGTAAATTCCTTGCAGCCCAGATAATTATGCCATTCTGACTGCTTGCTTAATCTATTTGAATCCAGAGGTGAGTTAGGCCACTTCCTGACCATTAAAGTAAACTACATGGGTAAATACTGCTGTCAGTAAAGGAGTGTGATGAAGCTTAACTACACCAACATCTTAACTTCGGCTCAGTGCAACCCAAGCTATTCCATCATAGTTCATAAATGCGATTGCAGGTCCATCTTTTGATTCAGCAATTTAATAACTTCGAGTGCTGTCAGTAGTGCTTTGAAAAATGGATCCTATAAAATGTAACGGCCTCAATCAGATTGTAAAAGATTCACCCACGGAAGATTCTCCCATTTTCAACTATAATGAATTAATGTTGAGCTGTGTAGAAGTTCAAGTGTCAGTTAAACTAATGGGAATCTGTAGTGTAGGCTTAAATTTTAACTGGGCCAAAAATTTATTGGGAACATCAAGTTCAATTTTAGTGATCTTCATGGTAAATGTAATATGTGTAGCTGAATGGATTCCCTTTGTTTTGAGAGGATGAAAGTTAACAGAAAAAATGTAATTCTAGAGATATGTTTTAAGAATTAGTTATGGCAAAGCATGCTTCCCCCCCATTTTTCTAGTCATTTTTTTCTATTAAACATCACTGTATCAAAGAAATCTTATTTTTTAGAAATGCATTTTAAACAAATACTGGTACAAAGGAATAAAGAATTTTTGTTAGACATAGCAAACGTAAATGTAAAATGCAAAGATGGCAATACTTGCTGTTGAACGTCATTACAAAGTATAAATAAACAGAATTAAATTTTAAATTGATAAAATACAATAATGTAAGATTGCTATCTAGGGACAAAAGATCCTATGGATGTGTTTCATATCTATGGATATCATGATCACAGAATTGTTGTTTTCCAAATATTCTGTATTTTCAACAGAGCCCTTATTTATTAGCTGGCACTTGGAGTATTTTTTTAAGAAATGGAAAAATCTCAAATATTTGGGGATATTATATCATTATTTGTATACCCTACTCATATTTATAGGCCACCTTCTCAGCAAAATAGGACAAGATATACTTTATTTAATGTGATTAATGAAGAGTACAAATAAGATTTAGCTCAGCTATGCTTTTGAAACTAAGAACTGAGTATTTTGCTGTTGTATGTCTATATAATTTTTGTTACAGCCCTCATTTCCCTGTCCTATACCCTCTTAGAATAAATACCTTATTCTTTTGTTAAGCTCACATTTAATTAAAATGTACAGGATTTGTGCAGTGAACTTGAATGAAACAAATAAAACAAGGGCCCCCTTCTCTTGAAGGCATACGTTGTGAATGAAAAATGTCATTACAGTCTAAAAATTTTTGCAGTAAACAGGGCCTACAGAGGGAAGTTTCCCCTATAATGACATCCATAAAATACACAAATGGCACTTTTAGTACCATCCTGAATATGGCATTTTCTGTGCTCTACACACAATCTAAATGGTTTGATCATAGAGCATAATACTCCATTGGGTTTATAGAACAATCAATGTTCCATAAAATGATGTATTTATCCAATAGTAGGCTCAGCAGTTACTGGTGTATGACATTGTAGGACACTGGCTTTGTACTGTTCAGCAGCACACATGCTGGCTGTAAAACTTATCTAACACTACTTCAACAACTTCATCTCATCTGTGTCAAGTAATTTGTTGAAGCCTCAGCTTGGCTTTAAAAAAAACTTGTAATAAAAATTCATAGAATTTTCAAGAGAATGAAAGCTGATGACAATAGAAAGGTCACATTGTGTCTCCACTAAAGGGGTCAAGGGTTATTTGCAGTTCTAAAACAGAAAGTAGATTTCATGCATCGTGTAGCAGATAAAGATGGCATTAAAAAGGCTTGTCTCCAAAAGTAATGCATAACGTATCAGGAAAGTCTGGGTTAACGCAATATTGCATGTAAACCTCCACTTTTGCTTTTCTTTTTATACTTTAACAGACATCCATCTGGGCCAAGTGTAGACCTTGCTAATCAAAACAATATCAAGGAAATGGACTAAAGAACATTGAGGGATATATGCTTATTTTTTAACTATATGTTTTGATGACTTTATCTTTCTTTTCTATATAGGCGCTATTAAAGATTTTATCTACTGGGCACTGTGACATTATTCCTGCCGGTTATTTCCCCATTTTATGTTCATCGTAAATATTACAATTGAACACTTTAAATAACATTACGCAAAAGACAATCTTTAGGCAGTATATATCAACCAACCTTAGTAACTAGTGTTAATATTTTGCTTCGATGAAAAGTGTCTCAAAACTCAGTTTCCAGTATTCTAGTTACCTTCCTTTTCTCCTTCTCTTTCATTTAGCCTTTGACCAAAAGAAAACCAGGGGACTAAAATTGGTAGTTGCTATGTTGGCTATCTCCATTGGGGTAATGAAATAAAAATCCTGCCCCATGGCTGGATGATGAGTGAAAAGAATACCAAAGGAGTGTAGCGCTCCATGTGCTTTTTTTTATCATTTTCAATTATGCCCATTTGTATGGGAAGTTATTGTAGAAGATGACCAGGTGGATCCTGAGGACAGGGTCAAACATGTCATCAGTTTGGAATCCTTATGTTCCCACAAGAGATCTAAGTCCACTCCTCCCCCATGAATTCTGTTGACCCTTATCTAGCGCCAATTTGCTTTGATCATTAGTAGATCAGATTCTTGTGTATAAGTAGAATGAAATAAAGTTCTAGTGCTTTGAACTCTACTCCTGTTCCTGGTTTCTTGCGCCTAAACCACTTACTGAGCATATACTATACAAGGAACTAGAAGCAGTTAGAAATTTTATTCCAAAATTCTTTTCTGTAGAACTGTTCTTGCTATGGTACCCAATGCCTGCAAATGTCTTCCAAAGCAACCTAAATGGAAGTAAGCATAATTTTTCTCTAACTGTTCATAAAACAAGGGTACTAATAAGACATCATTTTTATGGCTCTAAAACAAGTTACAATCTGAACTAATTGGGCAGATTTTTTTTTACGCGGAGAGCAAGCATGGAAATAATAAAGTTATGCTAACTTTACAGAAAGCAAAGGAGTTAATATCATTTTTTATTTTATTACACCAAGCTAATTAATGGGACAATATATGCACATATAAAATGATTTTAATAATAAAAAGTAAAAAAAGGGGGGGTCTGGAAAATAACATAATCAACAAAACCATTCTAAAAACTGGACCATGTCAATTAAAAGTCTTCTTCTTTGCCCCTTTGTTGAAAAAGCAATTAATTCATATATTGGCAGACAAGATATCTCAACAATTCATTGCTGCAACTCTGTTATAGATTTCCCCTTCCAGTGTCCTATGATAAGTCTTTTAGCCAGCAGGTGTTTATTTCATTCTGAGGAAATTGTGAGAGGAAATCAAGCAAAACTAGTTGTATTATTTTGCCTGTCTTAATGCAAGTGTGCAGCCACCTGAAGGTTTTTCTAGTGATTCTACAAAGCTATTCTCATGCTATTATTTACTTAGTTGCTTGTTTTACTTATAAGTCGCTTCAATTTCCAAGCAAATCTAGCCAGTGTACACAATATTACATTATGATTACCACAGTTTTTAATCTTGGCATAACATGATTTGCCTTCTTCAAAGAGATAAGTCATATTAGAAATGGACTTTAAACTAGGGGTGTCCAACTTGGCAACTTTAAGACCTGTGGATTTCAGTTCCCAGAACTGGCTGTGAAATTCTGGGAGTTGAAGTCCACAAGTCTTAAAGTTGCCAGGTTGGGCAACCCTCCTTTAAAGTTCTTGACTGCACTACTAGTACAACTTCCATTACAACTTGCAACCCGAGGACAAGACAGGCACACAGTTTTCAAAATGATTTCTCTTGACAACATTAATGATTGATAAATAGACAACACAGGACATTGAAAACTGGTACACATTGCCTAAGAACAGGTGGAATAGCTGTTGTGAGTATGCAAAGAGCCGAGTTCTGTGCTTTAGCTGCCATATGCATGTGCTCAGGATGGGGAGCGATGGTGATATCAAAAAAGTCAAAATGGCAGCCATGATCATGCAATCCCTTTCTTTACATGCGTGTAAATGCACATAGGAAGAGGCTCAGGACTTTGACTGCATGCTTTATAGCTACCATCTCAACATTTTTGACAGGGCCAATCAAGGAGGAAAAAATTTCTAATGAGGCCTCTATCAACTCCTCTACAGCATGTTTTGTGCTTACAGATCAAAACTGTGCCCATATTATCCTTGCCAGCTTTTTAAAAAAATCTACGTTACTCTGTAAAGAATCATATCCATACACATTGCTACGAAAATAATTTATGTTATCAAAAACAATGACAACTAGCAGATAGTTTACAAGATAGTATTGTATTCTCTTGGGTAATTCAACTGAGAATTTGGGGTTTTGTGTTTCACTTGGTTCCTTATGTTTTCTTGTTAGTGTGCTAAAACGATTACTGTCATAACTTGCTAGTCATATCTATGCTTTGTTTATAAATGGAAGCACGGTACAGTGTATTGTCATATCTTTCCAGAGCAAATTATAGGAAATAACCATTTATCTTCATTGCAGACACTTTCTTATGCTTGGTAGAAAACAAACCAGTATTCACCAACTGCACAGAGGCACCATTAAAATCAGATTTACAGTAAACAGAACCTGCAGCTGGGGTAAAACACTGTTAGTATTTTAATTATCAGCAAGGCTTTTGGAGGTCTAACATCTGCTCGCAGCCAAAAGACAGCAGCTGCTTGTGTACATATGAAACAATGTGAATTTTTGTCTATAAATATTAAAATATACTGTATGTGTTGTATACGTTGCCACAACACTCTTATTAGGTCTGTCATGTCTATGGAGCATCTAAAACTCTTTCTAGCTTCTAGTAAATTCACAAAGGGCTGATCCCCTTCAGAAGAATTAGAACTGAAGAGAACAAAAATTCTTGAATCCATAAATTGAACATATTTAAAGAGGATAGTTAACTATGAAAATGCTTAGAATCTAAATCCTTACAAAGTATCAACAGTATGTTTTGATCACGGCACTCCCAAATGACATCAGGGAGAGGGCACCTCAGGATAATGTTGGGGTCCAAATCCAATAAAAATATTAATATCTATAATCTTTATTCTCTTTATAATTCTCAAATACATTTTTGAATGATTAATATCTAGCAGTTCATGTTATAACTCCTTAATAATAAATACTCTCATAAATTGACAATTTTCTGCTCTGTAATGAGTATAGATACAGGTACATTACTTATTTTATTTAGATGCTGGTCTATATTTTCCTTATAACAAGATAGCAACAAAGAACTGGAATTAATGTTTTTTTACTTTTTTTAAATTGAGAATATGCTATTTACAGCACAACCCAGTGTATGCCTACTCAGATGCAATAGGGCAGTGATGGCGAACCTTTTAGAGACTGAGTGCCCAAACTGCAACCCAAAACCCACTTATGCATTGTCGAGTGCCGGGTGGGTGTGGCCCATTGGGTGGGTGTGGCTGCAGTGGTAACAGCAGACTGGGTGGGACTAAAAAGTTCAATCAATCAATTCCAACTTTGCAAGATCTTTTTTTTCCCCGTGAGAAGTTGAAATTGACTGATTGAACCTTTTTTTTTTTTTTGAACACGGCAGCGGAGGCCTATAGCGAAAACGTTTTATAAAACCCAGCTGAAGGCCTAGGACTGGGCCGACAGCGCGCGTGCCCACAGAGAGGGCTCTGAGTGCCGCCTCTGGCACCTGTGCCATAGGTTCGCCACCACTGCAATAGGGGCTTATGTTAAGGAGACTGCATTAAATATTTTATGTTTATGTTATTTTGTCAATGTATATAGTTTGTTCAACAACTCAGGTACATCATAAAAAATAGTAATGAACAGAGAAGGGGACATTAAAATGATAAAATATAATAAAACTTGCCACATTAGGCAACTTCAAATCAACAACACAATACAGAAAACAATCAAGATGGTCACAAGCCTTCTAAGTCAGCAGTCCTCAACCTTTCTGGCACCATGGACTGGTTTCATGGAAGTCAAGTTTTCCATGGACCGGGTGGGCGGGGATGATTTGGCCTACAACCTAGATCCCATGCATGAGCAGATGAAGCTTTGCTCCCTCGCCCACCACTTGCATGGCCTGGTTCCTAACAGGCCATGGATCAGTAGTTGTCTGTAGCCTGGAGGTTTGGGACCTCCTGTTCTGAGTCAATGCCTGGGGTAAAATTCAGGTCTTTAGCATTTTCAAAAGGCAGTCATAATTAAGGCCATCCAAAATTTAGGGGAATACTATGCTACAAGGCAGAGAAGATATGCTTTCTGGGCCTGTCACATTACACTGGTTAAGGTATGGGCTTGCAACATGTCCACCTTCTCAGATTTTATTGAATAGGTTAATATAATCAGAGACTGGTGATTCTGGAACTAGCTAGGCCCTGTGTTATGAAGACATTTATAGATAACAACCAGCAACTTGAATTGCACTCAAATGTAACTGATAACTAGTGCAGCTCACAAAGTAGTATTACTTGAGTACACTGAGATGCATTTAACTATTTGTGCTACTATATTCTGGGCCAGTTGTAGTTTGAGTACATGAAGAACAAACTGCAGTAATCCAGATGAGAGCTGAATGACTATCTTAAGGCATGAGTAAAGGTTTCCAATCCAGGGTGCACAAGTTGGATCTGTACAACGGTCCTCCCAACCAGAGTTGCCACCAGTTTTTCGAGCAAGACTCATGAGCCTAGGATGAATTACATTATTTACTGAGTCTGTCTGGCATTATAATCATTCAGAACCAAAAATGGAAACTTTCAGGATCCAGATGGCCTCACAAGCCATAGCCGCTTGATCGTCCCAAGGTTGAGCTTGAGTTACACATACAGACCCCCACCGCCTCTAAATACTGAGATAGAATGTCAATAGCATCACTTTACCAGTCAGGATTGATTGTATAACTAAATGGCTTTAGCATATTCTGATACTTAATCCCATGCTCATGTGATAAAAGAAATCTTCAAACCACATAATGATTTTGTAATATTTCTAGTTATGGATTTAATTCAAAGAATTAGGAAAAATGTAGAAAACATTGACCAATCATTGAATTTAAGTCTGAAACATTTTTTTAAAAAAATGCAATATTTTCATTCCCTTTCAAGCAAATATTTAGATATAGTTTCTAGTGAGTAAGGGAAGCTCTAATTAATTCACCCTAATTGAGAAATGGTCCTGAGAAGATGCCTTTGTAATGAGACAAAATGAAAATGAACCCAGATTAGCAGATTCATTTTAACTGAATTAAAACTGGAATATATGTCTTGCAAATGAACCCATGGGATATTCCCAGTGTAAATGGTCATTACATAAGTTCATGTAGATAATGATTCATGTTTTTATATGAGGGTACTTATACTTGGCACATCCATGAAAACCAACTAGCAATCAGAAGACATGATGAAAACTCTTTAATTTTGCAACACGTGGAAAAACGTAACCATAGTTTCAGTTGGGAAACTGTGACCATCCTAGACCAAGCCAAGTCCAAAAATGCTAGGGAATTTCTAGTAGCCTGGCGCTCTTACAAATTAGCCATCAACAGATACATAGACATAGACATAGACAATATCTACAGACAATGCCAAAGAGATAATCAACAAGCCAAAAACAGAATAAAAAGGCCAAAACACCTTCCCACCTGCAATCAGCACCCAAATGAGCATAATTAACTCCAAGATTAACGTTAGATCAACAATCAAGTAAACAATACCCCAAACAAGGAACTGCTAAACAAGCTAACAGTAAACAGCCCAACCAAAAAATCTCTTAAGACCACCCCCACCAACACAACAGGTAAGCCACTAGCATATAAAATGAGAGCAAACCCCACACCTTACTAGCCTGATGATGTTACCTAGTTTGGGCAATGAAATGTCTGCAAGAAAACCCACCTTCCCCCACTCCGCCCCTGCCTTCCCCATGTATCCTTAAGTTTTAATATTGACTTTAATTATTTATGTTTAATTGTACATGTACAGACATATTTTTATAGTGTAAGCCGCCCAGAGTTGCCCTATGGTAAGATGGGTGGCCAATACATTTTATAAATCAATACATATAAATAAATAAAACAATCAAACTTAAAGAGCACCAAGGACCCCTATGTCAATCCTGAGCTAGAAATGTTCTCCTTTATTAGTACTTACATTGCTACAACAGGGTCTGCATACAGCTGTCTTTGAAGACGACTCAAATGTACCAAAAGTAACAGCCAGGTTGTCGGAAGGGTCCTTGATTTTTCTAAAAAGATACTTGTATTGGGATACAAGTTGTGTTTATGGTTGCTAATATGTTTTATCTGACTCTGTAAACAGCCCAGAACAGTATTGATGGATATTCCAAAATTCATCATGCATTTGTAAAGCAACTTGAAAAAGCAACTTGATACCTGACTTTATCCTGAAAAACAGCATATGTTTACTGCAATGGCCCAATTCTTAGGTTTTGTCAACAGTGTATGTTGAACTAAGTTGTCCAACAAACTTACTGTTTTGCTCTCTCACAAAGCATTAGGAATAGCTGCCAATCAAATGAAAAAAGATAGCCAATTTGTCACACCTTTTCACTGCCAATCTATGAAATGTGGTGCTTAAACACATCTCGTTAATACTGACATATGCTCAACACTATTTAGCAATTTATTTCAACTGTGCTCAATGTCTTAGAAATTTTAGCTGGGGATAACAGGGTTTCCAGTTGAACACAACTAAAAACAGCTATCTTATCTCAAACAGTTTTTTTAAATGTGTTGTCGTTTGCAGTATGCTATTGAGTGTTTTAAGTTATTTTGACTTCTCTGTGATGGTTCTCTTCATTCTATTCACGCTGGAACTCGACAAAAAGTGGTTGTGGAAGAATGCATTACATGGACATACAGTATAAGAAGAACTTCTGCCAGCAATTGAGATAAAATATTTGACAATGTTGCTGACACATGGACACCAAATGATGCTGTTTTCAAAAACGTCCAAAATTAACTATTTTTAGTAAGAAGGTCCTCCTAATACTCCTAATGTTATTAAATTTATCAATCCTTTAAAAAAAATGGGTCAAATGCAGAAGCAGAGGACACAGGCAGCATAAATATTCAATCTACTTGATAGGCCACAAGTGAAGCTGTGTTGCTTAGGTTCTATTCGCTAAAGGAATTTTAGGATGTATTTAATACAACCTTTAGCTATAGTAGATGAAAGACTTTTTTATGACTGCACTTTTCATGGCTGTATATTCTCTCAATCAAACTTCAATATATCAGTACCCTTCTAGTCCTTTTTATCTCCAGAAACAGTAGGTCTAATGCACAGAAATGTAGCCTCTGTTTCTTATAATTATGGATATTAATTAGATTAGCACACTGCATCATATTGTTTTGCTTTAGGGGGAAAATGTTTTTTCACTCTGCTTTCAGACTTCCCTATGATTGGGATTGTAATCACATAAACTGAAATCACTTTCTCCCCCATATCAATTTTGCCACAAAGAAGAGGGAGTCAGGCTATTCTCCAAAGCGCCTGAAGCCAGGACAAGAAGCAACGGGTGGAAACTAATCAAGGAGAAAAGCAACCTAGAACTAAGGAGAAACTTCCTGACAGTTAGAACAATTAACCAGTGGAACAACCTGCCTCCAGAAGCGGTGAATGCGCCAACACTGGAAGTTTTTAAGAAGAAACTGGACAGCCATTTGTCCGAAATGGTATAGGGTTTCCTGCCTGAGCAGGGGGTTGGACTAGATGACCTCCGAGGTTCCTTCCAACTTTATCATCATCATCATCATCATCATCATCATCATCATCATCATCATCATCATCATCATCATCATTATTACTATCCTTAAGCATACTTTCTAAAGCAAATTAATACCTCACAAATGATACAATTGATCGAACAAAGTTGATTTATCAATTCTATTCAATATAACGGGCAGACGTTATTCAGCACCGTCCAATTGTTTCTAGCTTATGTATGTACATAAAATGCAAGGCTGCTCATGATTTCAGACCCCGTACTGGACATTCAAACTGCTTTTGAAAGGATAGCATATCCCTTACCCACTAACAGAAACCTTCAAAAAATTGAAATTTAAGTTTTTCTCATTCTCTATTTTTCTCTTCTACAATTACTTTAAGGAGAAGATCTTGAGGTGGATTAGTATCGCTGATACCATAAACAACACAGAATATGACTATTCACATTATGCTGAACTTCACTGTGAAATGGAGACCACCTGAGCTACCCAACAGAATTGTAGTTTCCTAACCTTAAACCACAAATTAGGAAATATGACTTTTCTTTTTCAGAAGTACTTCTTTTTTTTCTTTTCTCCATTCTTTAGATTCATAGACCTATCCTGGGAATGAAAAACAATAATCTTGCTTTTTGTCTCCTTTAAAAGCCCTCCAAAAATTTGTGGCACTTCCTTGGAAAGAACTTAGGTACTTCAACTCCAATGTTACTATAAATGTGCATAGTTCTCTGTGATTTCAAATCATTTTATTCCTGCTGAATTTCAATGCAGATTTCTAAAGTGTTTAAATAAACACTATTTAAACCTGTTAGTTCATCAAATGCAAACACTGCACATTAAGCAGGGAATATCAACTGCTTATGAAAATGATGGAAAGTGACACCAATGTAATAACATGATTACAGGTTTATGGATTTATGAAGTAAACATAAGCCAAATCCCCCCTCCCCAACCCCTTATGTGATTTTAGCAGATGAGATGTTTCAGTACAGTCTGTTTTTGATCTGAAATGCACATAGCACATTCAGATCAGCAGTGCTGTAACTTGAAAGACTGCTAGAAGCATTTGGAGGTCTAACAGAAAACAAGAAATGGCATGAATTGGGAAGGAAGCCAGTATGACAACTGGGGACAAGGGACACAATAAGGCAAGAAGTGAGACAAATTGTAGCTTATGGATGCTACCAGCAAGCCTTCACAAAACAATCACACGGAAAGCATTGTGCGGGAACAAAGGGCCGTAATGACAGAATTGGGCATTTTTTTTGTTTCGGAAAGCAGCCAGCCACAGATGGGTCTGTCATACTGTATGCTTCCTTTTTAGGAAACCTCAGCTACTGTCATTTGGCATCATGCTTATAGACAAAAGAAGCTACAGGCTGAAGTGTGAAGAGGGCAAAGGGACTACCAAACAGGTCTATGAATACCCCAATTTTTAGTATGTTCCATTTTATCAACTGGCCACCTAGAATTCTAGTTAAACACCATGCTGTATAGATTTCACTTGTCCTTTAATTCCATTCATACATTTTCATTTATCACCCAACATATCATTTTCTAGATGTAGCTGCCCTCTTTCTTGGCAGTTTGCAAACTAAAAGAAATGAATCCTCCTTCTTTTAACATATGAGCAAAAGTATTTCCTATATGTAAATGAAACTGATACATTCAGACTTTAAACAAAAATATGAAAAAAAACCATTTCTCTTGGATGGGTTCAAAGGCCAATCCTGGAAAATTTTCTCTTCTCATAGAAAGTTAATCAATTCTCAACAGCATTTTATTCCTATCTGGATTTTTTAGCTTATGCAATCCTAAAGGCTTAAAATTATAATTTACATTATATAATCTTCAGAAGCATAGAGGAAAATTAGCTGACTGAAGTGAAATCTTTAGATAGATAGCAACAAAGATGATTAGGGGACTGGAGGCTAAA